GGGGGGGGGGGGGGGCACATATTGATACACACGTGCAGCGGTAACTCCTATCAAAATAAATCAAACCGGGGGAAGATGGAAGAGCCAAGGGAAGGAAGCGTTGATGAAGAGAACGACAGCGAGATCTCCTACACTTCACAAAAAAGCCAACGCGAGAGAATACAGACGAGAATCCTCAAAGCAGGAAGGGCAGATGTTCCAGGAACAAGAGGGAACAGAAAGATGACAAAACACTATTCGAAGGTTGCGTCCAAATGCATCAAAAGAGACCATCTGGCACCAACCACTAGACGCTAAAAACACACACCAAGACCTCCCGCAACTGAAACGCAACGACAGCCAACCCCACTTGCGACAACAGAAAAACCACTCACAACACAAACGGCTCAAAAATCAACACAAACCTGCTGGTGCTCATGCGTTGATTGGCGAGAGCCTTGAGCTTTTCCACTCCCCCTACCGCGCTGGCTCTATCCGCCGTGGGTTTGTTCATGAATAGCCTCACGCCCAGCAGCAACCGCCCGGTTGCACGCTTCGTTCGCCCCGCGGATTCCAGGTCGTACCACTTGAGCTCTTTTTTTTTTTTTTTAAGAGAAGGACATCAAGGCAGGCAGCACCGAAACACCAAGGGGAGCAAAAAACAAGACGAATAAAATAATGCGGCAGCACCAGGTGGAGGAAAGGAGATGCAAGCGTGGTCGCCGAGGCCACGGTTTAGGCCGGCAAGCGAAAGCAGAGCAGCAGGCAGGATCATCACGACAACGACAACGACGAAGTAACAGACAGCTGCGACAACGACGACGTCGAAAGCAAAGCCGCCGCCACCAACGACATGGACGACGACAACAACAACGACAACCACCACCCCATAACACCAACAACTTGACGATAACAGCCCCACACCAGCACCAGCACCGCTACCACCAAACGACAACAGCAACAGCAGTACCCACCAGGGGGCGCAGCATCCCATCCATCATCCCACTTCTGCACGGCAACGTCCGTGAGCGGTATCGTCACGTGTCCGAGGAAGTCGTGCGTCAGGAACAGGTCTCTGTGCCACACCTAGCGGGGGGGGGGTGGGGGGGGGGGGGTTCTCATAGTCGTGCATGCCGTAGTCGTTAGACCAATGACCTCGCATCCCTACAAGGCCGGGACGGAGCACGCCGGGTTCTCACCGGACCAGACTCTCACATCACCAAGCGCGAAGCGCCGTGAGATATTCGGCGAGTCGCATGAAGGGTGCGCTGCATCCTGCTAAGGGTGTTCGGCATCTTGTGCTTACTTCCATGGGTACGGATGACAGCTGGGTATGACTGAATTTATCTTCTGGTGCTTTCACTTCCTGAGACAGTTGTAAGCACTGTGTAACTGCCTCGAGGCTGCTTGACCATTTTAACACAACGTGGTGCGATCATCCCCCTTGCGCGGAGTGAGGTTTCTCCACCCCGCACAACATGATCTACTCGACCACCATTATGGTTACCGC